TATATCTGTTTATTTAATAATATGTAAAAATTATATACAATTAATACATGTGCAGCCATCTTTAAAAATAAAAATAAGAAAAAATATTAGAATTCTCAAAAAAAAAAAAAAAGGTTTGAATTCTCAAAAAAAATGCAGTAGGCTTGTTGGAGAAGCTTGATAAAGTTAACAGAAAGATAATAGAGAAATAGACAGAAGTGATAGATGTAACAGCCTAACAAACGAAAGTTACAGAAAAAAGCTATTTTCTTTTTATTCTTATAGGTTATGGATTAAAATCGTTATGTTATAAAGTAAGGGATCAAAACCATGCAACTTATCAAGATAAGCGGTTATTCATGGGCTTTTGCCGAGCCGGCGAAGTGTACTTCGTTTAAAATGCGTCTTATGGAACTTTGTGTATTGATCGTGACTCGCTCACCGAATAATGCAATGTCGCACCGGTCAATAAAGAGGGGGCCCTTCTTCTTTACGTTATTGCCAACCTGTCAGTATTCACATATGTTCACCATGTTAAATTTTATGGATGGCATACCACCACAAAGAATTTTGTCAAGACCGCAATTTTATCTGTAATTTTATTGCCTAATATTTTGTAATTTTTTTAAATAGTTACTTTATCTGTATTAAAATAAAATATTAATATTTATTTATTTTACTTTTTAAAAATTATAAAAAAATTATTATAAAATTATATCATTTTAATAAAATATCATAAAAAAACTAAAAATATTTTAATTCATGATTTAAAAATAAAGTATTGTAATATTTTTTAATGAAAGTTTATTAAAATTGTGTAATTTTGAAATAATTTTTCTCTAAATCTTTAAGAAATAAAGTACATATGCATTATTTTTTAAAAATAATTATCATTTTTTATTTTTTATTTGTGTTAAATTAATTGTCATATTTTATTTTTAAGATAGATAAATATTTTTTCTCTATTTTAATCCCAATATTATTTATTTACTTTGATTATTATCTTATCACAAAAAATTTTATTTTATCTTTTAACTTTTTTTTAAGGTTAATATAAGTAAATATATAAATTATTTTTAAAATTTTAATTTAAAAAAATAAAAAATAATAACTATTTTAAAATAAATGAAATAATTATAATATTTAAAACTATCTATTTATAAATAAATTTTAATTTATTATATATTTATAAATATTACAATAATTATTTTATTAATTATTAACTACTTTTTTACAATAAAATTAAGTTAAAATTTTAATAGTTTTAGCGACGATGGCCCAATTTCTACTTCCCGCTAACGTTTATCGTTAATGGAAGCTGTTTACTTCTCATTCCCCCTCTTTCCCAACCTAAGAAACAGCATGCCCACAAAATGGAGATGGAGTGATACAACAAATTAGGAAAAGAAATACTGTATTTATGGTGAGAAGATGATTTAATAGTGAGAGATGTATCCACAACAATTTGTTTGCTTCGATCGAGTGTGATTAATCCAAGGTATAGGATATCACCATCAGTTCTTTCCTTTTTTATCTCTCAAATTTTGATTTTTCTAGATTATTTTCTCTGCCCTTTTTCATGGAAGACTTTGATGAATTACAGCAAAATATTAGATACTGATAAAGCTGTTAACAAGTCAAGTGAATCAAATACTTGAGTACTTGGGTTCGAACTCACCTAAAAAATTTAATTTTGAGTATTTGTCGGTATTTAATGGTATTGAAAATTTTTTAAAAATTATTATAATTAAATGAGGTTAGTACATATAAGTTCTGATTTTTTAAAATAATTTGAGTTTTAATTTATATATAAAAATTAAAATATCATCTTATTAAATATTAATGTTTAAATTTAAAAACTCATTATAAATTTTAATATAAT